ATTTGTCTATATGGAACTTGCATTTTCACATTTTGCTTGTGTTAAAAGGGATAGGGATCAGGAGTTACTGGCACCACATCCCGTTTGTATTATCAACTTGTATTATATCATAATAAATTTTTTGTTTCTAGGTATCTACGTTTTCCCATGATGCAATAGTAAACAAGTAAAAATCTCATACATGTTTGTAGTTGACATACTGAGATTTAAATTTATGCTGTAAGACCACTAATTAGGGTGAAGATAATTTGAATGTTAAGAAAACAAACAGAACTGTTATATTCAGCTGATGTATAATGTCTGTGAATAATATCCATCTCCCTAATCTGAGGAGAAATATAGCTTTAATTCAATCATATAAATGATTTTGTACCCTGTTAATTCACGCTGTATTCTAATGTGATTGTGATGCAGATAAATACCATGTGACTCCTAATCTTAGGTCGTGTAGAAGCTCTATAGTTTTTTTTATTTTTAGAAATTGGAACTATATGCATAAATTTGAAGTGTTCAATTTATATTCTTAAAATGCTCATTATTTACACCAATTTATTGTCCAATTAATATACTTTATAGTTTTTCAGCCCACAACTAGAACCAAAATGCTGTAATAGATGATTTACCATTCAACTGCAAGGTGTTGCATGAAAGGTGCAAAACAAACATTACAGTGCAAAATCAAATATTTTGGGCATTGAGATATCCTTACTTCATCAAATGTATTTAGCCCAAGAAGTGGAGATACTCCCAAAATATTTTTGTGTTTGACACTACTATGACACTATGACTAATGTTTGTTCTATTTTTGCATTTAAGTTCATGCATAACACAGGATCTTGACTGGTTTAAATAGGTGCAGTCAGTATACATTACATTATACATTTTGCAGGAGACAATATCAAATTAATATTAATGAGGGGTTGACCATTAGAAACTCTTACAGAAAACTACTTTTGTAACATTTGCAAGAATTAACCTGAATTAACAAGTCAAATGTGTCTACCATCTCTTCTTCCAGAGTTTCAAATGGCCATCTCCCATCAGTCAAAACTAATTATAAGTTATATCAAATATTTAACTGCCAATCAAGTTTGTTGAATATTCTTGGATTGGAATATTTTTTTTAACATCTATGTGTGAACAAGATTTCATTGTGACTGTTGGAGTGTGCTAATGTTTTATTTTAAACAAACAATTACAGACATATCTTATGAAATATATTGTTTGTTTTTATTATATTGTTTGTTTTTGATTCTTCATGCTTCGATATTGTGTGTTGCATCGTACGTTAATTTACAAATATTACAGGAACCTTTAGTTTTTGAAAGAAAGTCTGGATGACATGAAAACACAGCATACAAGTGAAGATTTGAGCAGAAGTGTAAACAACATTCTCTGGTAACTACAAAATTTGTCACTAGCTTTGGTTTGATAAGTAATGAGCAAAGTTTTGAAAGTCAGCAAAACTGTGCACATCATTGTGTAAACGGTGAGCAAAACTTTTTCTTGAAACAGATAAGGGGTTGACTATATGAAATTGGGTGGAGTTCACCGTCATGTGTAATCAGAATGTTTTGTTTACCCTTTCTTTTTTTGATATAGCAATATATGTTGTTACATTCACTACAGTTACTACTCTCTACTTTCAACAGATCTGGCAGAGGAATATTTTGTCTATATTGCATGCATTCCCTTTTCCCATTGAAATCCCTAAATTATATTTGTTGATTGGAGTTTCAGAATGGACCAAGTGAATTCCTTTTGGTATATGTGTGAGTTCAGGTTCATGCCAAAATTTAGATAGTTATTGAAAGTTGTTAGCTTTTCTACTGGGACTTGTAATTTGAATAATAATTAGCTAATTTTTAGCTGTTCCATGCCTGTTCCACTGATATCTAAAGAACCAGTCACATAGATGCTCTAATGCACAGATTTGATTAGTTTTGGGTAAAAATCTTTGCATATTAATTAGCTAATTTGCATAATGATTAGTAAATTTTTTTACTTTTCCACTAATATCTCAAGTACTAATCATATTTTCGGGGGGTAATATCAGTACATATTAATTACCTAATTTACATAATTAATACATTTTCAAGTTTTGATATCGTCGTAATCATCACATTCCAATTAAACTTGTACATAGACACTAGGACTATGCAGAGATTGATTGTTGTGGAGTAAATATTTGTGCATATTATCTCAACTACTAATAATCATATTTTGATGAAACTTGGTACATAGATCCTCTAGCATATGCAGGGACGATAGTTTTTTATTGGATTGCTCAGTTGAAATACATTTTACATGCATTACTCCAATAAAGTGAAGTTTTAATTAGTTTTAGAACTTGTACATTACGGTATGTAAGTCGCAAATGTGAGGATTAGTAATCTACTCTAGAGAAGTTATACAATAATTTGAGGATCTGTACCTCACTGTAGAGAAGCTATTCATGACTGAGATTTTATACATTACTGTTAAGCGATAAATTTAATACATTATTGTAAGATCTCGCACAATGTACCCCATTGTAAAGAAGTTATACATTACCTAGAGGATTTACACCATACCACAAATTTTATGTTACAATTTAAAGGAAATTTCCCCATTTTTTGATATGGAAATTGAGCTTATTTTTATGGCAATATGGAGTTCAATATTATGGATATTTTGTACATGCCATCCCAGAACTCCATAACAAATTCACAATTATAAAATAAGTGTATTAAAATTTATTTTTCTTTGCCACACCAATTCACTACGTTCAATTACCCACCATAGACTCTATCAAAATGACTATTTTGAACTGTAGGCATTAATCAGCGATTCTGCCAATGACGGAGAGATAGGGGAAGCCCCATTGTAGCTGGTGAGATTAAGTTTTCCTTGTCATTTTTACCCTTGTGTCATTTTCTCCTTTGTGTGTAGCATTTTTCACAACAAGAATAAATAAAACCCGGGCGTCGTGGCTTAATCACTTGTTGATTTCGTTACGTCACCTTTTCCTACTGTAATTCGCTTCCCTCATGCATGTCGTCTTCATTTCGAATTGGGGGCATTTCGTCCAATTACCACTTCGCCCGAACGGTTTCGCCCGATTACCTGTTCGCCCGATTGTCATTTCGCCCGATTAACAGTTCGCCTGGTTCCCCGTATGTTTGGTATTTACGTGTAGTCAAAACAAGATAACGTAGAAGTCGAAATTTGTTTTTATAAGGTGACGAACGTGAAGTTTACAACGGGGTTGTAACGTAATTTTATGCCGTTGCGTTGCGTTTTATGCCATTTGTGTATCGGGAGGAAACAATGAGTTGAGGGACAGTCACATCAGTTGCAGTGTTTGCATCGGCAAGAAAACCCTGACTAAAATGCGATCATATGGTAGATTTTATGCATTTTACCAGATGTACATTTCGAATCGAAACCCCCAGTAGGCCTACTGTGTAACATCGGTAAATCGGGCGAAAAGGAAAACGGGCGAACCGGTAATTGGGCGAACTGGTAATCAGGCGAAGGAGTTCGGGCGAAGTGGATTTCGGGCGAAGTGATTGTACCCGCTTCATTTCATGCTTGATCTACGTATTTAGAAATGAATAGATGTAATGACAGCCTTATGACTCGCTGCCGATTTTTGGTCTCCTCGTTTTCGAGTCGACTGTGCAGTGGTTATATTCAGAATTTACCAGCATAGAACCCGCATCCAAAATGCTTTTTGCGTAACTGCGTGCGGGGTTCGGGGGTTTTGCCTCGAAGGCTTGTGTTTTTTCACTGGAGTTCTGATGCCTGAGATATTTTTTTAGAGCCATCAAAATCGCTGAGACTGACCACGTCGCTCGTATTTTTCACAGCAGTGAATTGAAGTGAGTTGCGTGTTTGGCATGAGTGGAAAGTCCTCTCGCTCGGCTACCGGTACTTCGTACTGAGACGTCAAGTAGGAGGCCCAATGGTGGAGGTACCGATATTATTTCTCGGTCTCCCGTGCTGATCGGAGGGCATCCTCACAGTCTGTGTTTTCAGGTGGTGGTTTACCCGATTTTACCGGCTATAGCGAGGCTGTGCCCCTGGAGGTCTTTCCTTCTATGGGGCCTGTTGCGGGTCCCTTTGTGGACTCTTCCTCGCACGGCGCCGGGTTTGCCTCCGAGATGAGGACTTTGGTTGAAGGACTGTCGGGGCAAGTTGCGTCCCTGGCTGGTGGAAGTGGAAGCGCCTCCTCGTATAATCTTTTTTGTCTGTAAGCAGGGACCATATTAGTTTTGGGGTGAATATTTGTGTATACAATGTATTAATCACCTAATTTGCATAATTAGTTAATTTTCAGCTTTCACACTGATATCATCACATTTCAATAACATTTGGTACATAAATGTTCTAAGACAATAGACAGACCTGATTAATTTTGGGTTAAAATCTCAACATATTAATTACCTAATTTGCATAATTAAATCAATTTTATTCTTTTACACTGATGTCTATAGTACTAATTATTCCATTTCAATGAAACTTGGTATGTAGATGCTCTAGGACAATGTGCAAACCTGATTAGTTTTGGGTTAAAATCTGTTCATATTATTTCCCTAGTTAGCATAATAATTGTTCACATTTCATTGGTACATAGATGGTCTGTTACATTGCGCAGACCTTAGTTTTACACTCAAATCTGTTCATATTAATTACCTGATTTGCACAATTAATTTTTCAATCAATATCTCAAATACAAGTAATTTTTAATTAATTTCTAATGTGTCTCCAATACTCTCAGCACACGGGAGTTCTTTCTAAGCTTTCTTTGATTCTTGGAATTGGAAATAAAGTTGTGTAATTATTTGTGTATGAGCCATTAGCTAAACAAGGTAGTAATATAATGGACTCAAAAGACATGATATCACTAAATGAATATTCACAACTTTGTATTTATATTTAGATGCAACATGTAAACATTTTTTCACAAAAGTCTATTTCTTTAAAAAGTGTTTAAACTTTAGGTGTAAGGTAAAATGTCAAACATTACTCTCGGCAACATTACAAAATTTAAGTGTCATCCCAAAATTCTCTTTATACACACGGGATATCTCGGGTTTATGTAGATTATCCAACTGACTACGATGTAAATGAATGGAACTGTCTTCAATGAGCGATGTATTTAACCAGATATAGAAGGAACAATTTCCATATCCTTTTGGTACAGTGTCCTGAAAATTAACAAAAAAAAAATCATTGAAAAAAGTTTGTGAACTTTGACCTCAAAAAGAATAGATAACACTTCAAAATTCAATTCAAATGAAGATTTTGATGTAAACAATTTTACTGTCAATTGTTGAGCTCAATATCAGCCCTGTATTCATGGTGTAAATGGTTTGATTGTCATGATTACAATTACATCATATGCAAATGAGATTGCATTCTTGGAAACAAAAAAAAACAATATACACTATATATAATACCCTGGTACTACAAATTAATAAGCAAAATAAATTATGGGACAAACAGAATCACAAATTTGTGATGCGTTAATACTCAATATATAAAAAAAGTCTGTAGTAAGTTTTTCAAATTTGCTAAATGAATGAAAAAAAGATTATATAATCCAGAGCACAGGCACTTTAAAGAGTAGTATGGTGGGGTTAGGGTGTTGCTAAACGTTGTTGACCATGCACTCTCATGATGGCTATATGAATCCTCAAACTAGTAGCCACTATGTTAGCAAGTATGCTTGTGGACCTGAATGTGGCATGATAACAATTATTATTCTACATCTCTAAATAAATCTGAATAACTTACCATGGTTGAATGGCATATAACTTTAATGTCTCCCGATAGAACAGGTGAATTTGTCACATGTATAATGACGCTGTCAGACTCGTTATCATATGCACTCTGTATACTCAAAATAAAATATTGTTATAAATATATATAAACATTATTTCGAGTGTACAATGTTATAACAAATATATAACACAACATCACACAACTTATGTAAAATGATTCTAATTTCAAGTCTAAATGTGTAAACACTTCATTGAACCTTAAACATGATTGAATATTTTCTTTAATCATGTAATGAATAAATTATTGCAATCTTACCTGACAGTTGCAGTTTGAGTCGAGTCGCAATTCAAATATTTCAAACTCGTTGTAAATAATTTCAAAGTATAAATCTCTTCCGTCACCTTTACCAATACCTAGTAGTAAATGCAAAGACATAAACAACACGCACCCCTGGTTAAAAGTAGATCCATAATCAAGCTTTCATAATTGATCCTTGGCATCAATACACATTCCAAACCACCTAATTGCTAAATGTCACAATCAAGACACGTTATAGTGTTAACAATGAAATTGTCAATTAGAAACATTATCATGTGACACACTATGTGCCAAATACTGATTATTTCAAAAACTGTACTTAAGAAGGTCAATGTATTTTTTTTTACCTGATATTGCTTCTAAATGAATTGCTTTAAGTTTAGTTTCTCTTTGCGTTGGCAATATACCATTGTGTATTTCCTTGACCTGTTTATAATACTCCACATATTGGCACTGTAACAGGATAAAAAAATCGTTTCAAGTCAAGTAGAATATCATTTTTCCTTTATTATAAACACAAGAAATACCACCAGATACAGAATCATGTTCACTAATTAGATTCAGTAGATTGACTAATATGTGTTGTTTTCTTGATAGCTTCTGGACAGGATGATCTGACACACAATATGTTATATGTACAAGTTCATACTTGACTCGGTGTTTCTACTGGATAATTGAAATCGCATCTTCCACAAAAATCATACAGTGATTCCTGTTCAATAAAAAAAATGACAAACAGTTTTTAGTAATGATTCAATTACAAATGATATTTCATTTACATGTACTATGAAAAGTGCAAAACTGATTTTATTTTTGAATACAGCACATAATTTGCATATTTGTAAGCAAATAGTAAGAAATAGAAATTGAATGTTGTCGTCAGATTCTCAGTTAAATTTACTATTAATAACAATTCACAAAACTGATTTGATCTCTTTATTATAAGAATCTGTAGAATTTGCACAAACAAACAAGTTTGATCCTATGCACACCAATAGATTATTATGTTCTGTCCCAAAATAGCAACAGTGTTAGGCCAATAAAGCAGTAATAAGCAAAAGCATAGTTACAGAGCTTTCAGTATTTACATCATTTAATCACTGAGTAGAATATTTACTTTACCCAGTCACATGATTAATATGATACTAAATATTTGTTTCGTTAATTACCTTAGTTTGTTCATAAAGTCCATAATTTAACAATAAAACACTCATCATTAGACCAATTGCACCTACAAAATATATATATATATATACATGTTATTATAATTGCGGGTACATTCTGTAACTGCAACACATATAGGTGATTTGGTTTAACAGTTATCATTTCTTTTAGTTTTTTTTTCAATGCGCGAATTACAAACCAATACGTGATACATATTTTCTTTCTACCAGAAAGTTTGCAACCAACAATTACAATGGATAAAATATATCTGTTTTTAAACATTTTGGCATATTTGATTGCTTAGAAATACAATGCATTGGTGATACAATATAACACGCAAGGATGAATTGGACCCATGTATCATCTCGCGCAAGACTTGTTTGAATGTACAAGGCCAGCACAGCATTGATCTGAACAACACGTATCATACGATGTGCATATACACAAATTTAAGATTTAACTCCCAAGTAACCATGCTTAATAACATAATAGGAGATTAAGATTCATTTAAAAGTCAATCTGGTCATATTTGGTAGAGAATCAATATTGAAAGATGATTTGCGTCCACTATTAGTCAGTAGGTTTTATCAAATATTTGTTCAAAATAAAGTTCTGTTTATTTATTTTTTGTAAATGCAGTTAGATTATCAACACTAGGTGGCGCTATTTACCTTTCCCGCCATCACCGTGTAGTATGGCAACGTTATGTTCATCAGATTGCAACCATTCCTTTACATTCTCACAGAATAAGATAATATCTCTATGAATAGACATCATTTGTTATGTTTATATGTTATTCATTGATTCTTTACATAGCAAATAATTAGAAGTGCATTGTGGGCAAATGAAAATGAAGAAATACTACAACAATATCTAACAAATGGGTGGGTAACACATTATTTTTTAAGGGGTGGAAGGAATGAACCTCACACACACAACATGCATTACTCTATGTATCAAGCTTGAAAAAAGTGGTTGTGACTTGTCACCTCCCCTTCTTTCGTTCATGCTTGACATCTCATTCCTCTTAGACTGTTACAATTGTCCTTAGAACAAACCTTTGAGAGATAACATATCAAGCCTAAAAATAACGTTTTGTAGATGAGTGGTTTCAATACATATACTGAATTGAATTGACTCGTGTATACATTTACAGAACCAACTGTACATATGTCATCATAACAATGCACTGACATATATAAGAGAAATAATCAAATAATTACCTTAAAGATGGTACATGCTGATCATCTATTGGAAGATTGTAAACACTGTAATTAAAATAACCTTCATCATACTCAATATCATCTAAAATGAAAGATTTTAATACAAGATTAGCAATAACAGTAAAAAATAAATGTTGTGTCTACAACTTGAGAAAGTATTACGTTCTTTACATGACCTCTTTTTTATATTGTGTTTAAATGTTAATTTATTCATTAGTAAATTTAATTTAAATCTGAAATTAGATGTGACTATGTTTATAGCATTCCCTTATATCAAATTATCTCCCAAGGAAGAATTAATCACTTTAAGATGATGAAATACAATTAGCTACTGTATCAATAATACATTTACTTGTATGTGATGCGTTTCTAAGTATAGGCATAGCCTGGGTCATTATAATCAACTATCCACCAATGAAGTTTCATGGCTCACCTGATAAGTTATAAATTCTATACTGCCCCGGATATATTGTGTTGAGGACATTTGATACATCTGATATTGTCCGATTACATGGTGATTGCATGATTATTAAGTGTTCTGAAACAAAACAATCTGTAACTGAATAACATTTGACCACATGTAGGGGGGGGGGGTGCCTTACATCACTTCCTACATCATATATATATATATATATCAACCTCACATATTTCACCATGTGTTGTATTCGTCCACTGGTTGTCAGTTGTCTATTGTGTTTTTGTTCTTTGACTTGTCATTTTACCAAACGCACATTACATGTATCTATCTACTATATTAACCTAGCTTACATATTTATGCAATCCATAATAAAATACCGTCCTGCACCTGACTTTCATGTGTCAAACACAACAATACCAGTGTTGCATAGTTTGGGGAAAGATGTTATCCAATATCATTATCAATGTTCAACACATGGAGTTATCTGTACAATTAAACAACGTTAAATATTCACAAAGAATAAGAACTGCAATAGATTATATTTACCTGTTATGTGCACTAGATCTGATTGTGAAAATACTGGTACTGGATATCTTGGATGGTTGTCTGATATCTGTAGGATATATAACATACAATATATATCTCAACACTTCTTCCTGCTTGGGTTGTACAAACTTAGAGAATTATATCACACATCATGGTGGCCATTAACGCAAGGTCAAAATGGTAAAATCAATGATAAAAAATAACTTACTTGATTTTTTAGTTCACTCTTTTTCTTATATTGTTCAACCATAAGACGCACAAAAAATAAAACTCGTATTGTACGTAAACAGGCAATCATTCTGTAAAAAAATACAACTCATTACAAGTATAGCCTACAGATGTACAATCAGATGTCATAATGTCAAGATTCAAATCTGTGAAAGCCTCCTGTGCCATGTCATGGTTAATTTTGATGACCACACAGACATTATCTATGACAGCGCGAGTACCATTTTGATATCTACGCTTACGTCTTGAAAATATATTTCAACCAAAGGATGAACTTCTTATAACTAGAAGCCTAATACCAGCCAGTTTTAATTTTAGTTAAATATTTGTTGATTCATATAAATGTGGCAACATGCATTAAGGCGATTAATTCATATGAATGTGGCAACATGCATTAAAGCGATTAATTCATATGAATGTGGCAACATGCATTAAAGTGGTTGATTCATTAGAATGTGGCAACATGCATTAAGGCGATTAATTCATATGCATGTGGCAACGTGCATTAAAGAAATTTATTCATATGAATGTGGCAACATGCATTAAAGTGGTTGATTCATTAGAATGTGGCAACATGCATTAAGGCGATTAATTCATATGAATGTGGCAACATGCATTAAAGTGGTTAATTCCTATGAATATATCAATATATATTAAGGCGATTAATTCATATGAATGTGGCACCATGCATAAAAGTGATTTATTCATATGAATGTGGCAACATACATTAAAGTGGTTGATTCATATGAATGTGGCAACATGCATTAAAGAAATTTATTCATATGAATGTGGCAACATGCATTAAAGTGGTTGATTCAT